TGGATGTATGTTACGCCTACAGGAAGAAAAAACAAATCAGAGTCATCTGACTTAATGTTCAATGATGCCTTTAACCCATGATGTTCAAAACACACCAGCTGATCTTACACAGGCAGCTTTTAAAATATGAAATCTCAAATTCAGCCTTGTCATAATGGGTGTGGGCATGTCTCAAAGCATAATTTATATTGACTAATTTTACTAATTTAAAGATTCACAGAAGTTTTTTAAATAAATTATTGCATATCTCTGGCATTCATATTGTAGTTAATCTGATCCATAATGTGGATTGCTTCCTTGTTTAACTGAATCTTTAAATGTGTCAAACCTTGAAAAATGCAATGGAGCTGACCAGACTGGTACCTGTAGCTCTCTAATGGTCATTCGCTGGAAGAGTTGTCCTTTTAACCGGCGATACTGCACAGGTGAGGTGGCCACAGCGAGCTCAGAGGACAGAGAGATGAACGTGCCAACATGGAACAAGCGGTTGGAAGGAGGGGATCCCAGGAATGCCAGGTAGCTTTGACATGACGACAGGAAGGGGCGTATGGTCTGGATTCAAAGATATTCTATTAATTCAAACACACCGAGCCTGACCTGGAAAATATCTGCAACAGGAATTTATTTACGGATAACCAACCTCAGCTTTAGCTCTTGACTGCTGTTTTTCACTGTTCCATTCAATTGGGATCAAGAGATCTGGTTGGTCAATCTGTTGATAAAAGCAGGCTGGATTTAAAGCAACAACACGTCTCTTACTTCTCTGCTTTTGCTGTATGCTAAAATATTAATGTTTGACGAACAAGATGATGGAGATACTGGCCTGAATGTATCTTTTAGTCCTGTTGCTGGGAGCATCATTCGGATCTTTGCCTACATACAGGTTGAAGAATGGAAATGTCCCATATTCTCTCATTAATAAACCAAGAGTGTAGTTGAAGTCCGTCTTATTCCACTGACCAGACACTGCCCAGCCTCCCAGCTATGAAACAGTAAGAAATTTGAAAGAAAAAAGACAATTATTCTGCCATACAACTACTGGGTGCAGATTTTAAAATAAAAAATAAAAATTGATCAGCTTATTCATTTAATGTTGTTAGATATCTCATGATAGAAGAAAAGATAGGGATTTTTAATTATAAAAGGCTGGAACAACAGAAGCTTTGATGATTTTTTTTTTGCTGACTAACTTGACATATTTGTCCTGTTCTTTTTAGAGTTTGAGACCACAAATAAAAGTCTATCAGTAAGGTAGCCAAAAAAAAAAAAACATGGTGTTTGTACCTTCTGGATGAGTTCTAGGAAGGGTTCTGCCCCTGCAGTTTCTAAAGATTTGGTGTCTAAGCAGGAATGGTAGAAGTCTTTCGTCTTCCGGACAGCAGAGCTGTTTGAACTGTGGTTGGTCTCTGACAAAGAAATACACAAGATTTAATTCAGGTTATTTTAAAGTTGTTAGATCTTTATCCCCATTCAGCCAAACAAAATCCTCCCTAAAAAAGGACAATCTAAAATCACAGTTTTTGATTACTTTAATGAGGAGTGGATACTCCAACCACATCGCCGTTGAGGTCATGAGCACAGAAATTAACTGACTGCATATTCTCAATTGAAAATGAACAGTCATATAATAAAAAAGGCTTTAATATCAAGGTGTCTCAAAACTTTTTGCACAAAGTTCTTATATAGCTTTATGCAACCTGATTCACACTACTGCAACACTCTGCATTGCAGTAAGTAATTACACTTTAAAAGCAGCTATTCCACAAAGCATGGAGGTACTTGGAGGCCTGTAGCAACTGACAGCAGAAAGTATTTGACAAAGGGCCTCAGTATGCTTTTCAACATGACCTGTCACTTAGCAGCTGTTTATAATTCATAGAGCTCCTGAATGCGACTCATTCATTAAGAAATTTGATAAATGTATGTATAGTCTGCATGTCAAAGAGCAGGATTTTTAACATCCATGACAATTAAAGTGATGGAATAATTTTAATACAGTGATTTGGATCAATGACTTATCACCTTTGGTAATATACTGTACCCAAAGTTTTTGCCTTCTAACTCAACACATTACTAGGATTGACTTATGACCCAAACTATTGGTTAGAATATAAATATTTCTAAAAAAAAACTTTTATCTATTGGTATAACATTAATAAAATTAGCATAGACAACCCATGTATTCTGTTTTGTCAATTTTTAGATGATGTTTTTCTATCTTTTGCAGAGCAATACTTTTTAAGGATTCCAATGAGTATTGCAGAGACTTATTCTGGTCCACTTCTCTTGCTGGCTTACATGTCTGCAGGCTGCAACTCTTTTGCAACCATAAAAAAATAAAGGCAATGCTCTGTTTTGGTAGTCCTGGAGACTAGTAGTAAACACAGGCTACATACTGCAACAAATAAGTTCTACAGCATCTTACGGTTTGATAGACGAAAAGAGGACACTGTGGACCAATTATTATTACGTGATATTACTTCAAACCATAGGGACAAATAAGAATGATTTTGGTTCATTCTGCAGTAAATTTCTTACTTATTGCTCATCATACATATGCATCATCACACTCATTTTTAGTATTTTCATTTTCTTTATAGGATAAAAAAGACCTCAGACTTTTACTTAGTGCCACAGATTATATTACATCAGATGATTTTGTTTTAATCTGGTATTATTGGTGAGCTTTGTCTAAGTGTTAACACTTCAATGTCTCTTTTATTAAGAGATGGCTACATTGCCATTAAAGCATATAATGTCTTGCTAACCTTGAATATTCGAATTATGGAACTGATTTTAAATCATAGCCATTCATACAAATAATGCACCAAGTCGTCAACCTGATGTTTTTCCACTTTGGTTCAAAGTCTGTTTTGCATTTTCCTTAAATTACTCCAGAAACAATTATACGTGTCTATCTTTGGATCCTGCTGCATGAAACATGACAGATGAATTTGATCAAGATTACATGGGTTGAATCTCTTCACCATAAGGCAAAAAATAACATGTCTCACTCTGGTTTATTAGGAGCCTTTGTCCAGTTTCAGGGGGACAAAATAAACTTGGCTCCAGTCCTTGGTTCCAGCTGCGTAACCCACAGCCATCTGAAGGCTCTCAGCTTAAAGCCTCAAAGTCCTCGCCACCTTCCTCACCCTTGGCTTCAGCACAAACTGCCTGCCTCACCACTCTGTTAGCCTGAATCCTCACTCTGCAGGGGTCAAGCTGACCAACACTCTTTCTGCAGGGTTGTTTTGCTGCACACACATTTATACTGCATAAAGCAGCACCTTCTTCACATGCAGCATTACTTGTACCTTTTTTGAACACCATCAGTAGTATAAATTCTCTGGCTTCATGCATTCCGTGACATAAATCATCACCACTGTCACCAGTAATATCCAAATCATCTTCCAAACTGTTGCGTCATCTTTATTTGCAAAGTTTTCTGCATTATCCGCATCTACAGACTTGCCTCATTTCCATCTCCAGTGCCATTATTGCTCCCCTTGTTAGAACTGTTATTAACAGCTACCTTTACAGTAATCCTTTATTAGAGCATCTGCGATCATGGTTACTATCAGTGGAACTGCCTTCATTTCTTAAAAGAGCTTTATGCCATAACCACATTCGCCCAATTATACATTTCTAGACCGATTTGCAGTTTGGTGGCCTGTTGGGGTGAAGTTTTTCATGGGGAGTGGCGGCCTAGTGGTTGGGGCATTGGTATCCAGAGGTTCTGAGTTCAAGCCCCACTCCCACAGACTGCCACTCTGGGTCCCTGAGCAAAGACCCTTAACCCAGGGTGCTGCACAATGGCAGCCCACTGCTCCCCAAAGGGGATGGGTTAAATGCAGAGAGTGAATTTCGTTGCTCTGTACTTGTTACAGTGTAATGACAATAAAATGCTGGAAAAAAAAAGATTGTCTTACCCAGGGACATATTAAATTGCTACAACTACACCTTTGATCTCAAGAATACCTCTCTTCTCATTGAGTCACATAGACATAGTCTCCAGTAGATCTTCATAGTTTTCTTGTTCACAGACTTCATAGTCTTTTGACTGGTCCTCATCATGACTATTGTTACCCTCTTCAGATCACTGGCCATGTCTGCAGTCTTAAGATCCTCAGCCAGCCCTCAAAAGACCCTGTTCACTACTATATTTCTAAGCAGTAGAAACTTCTCCAGTGTTTACATCCCCTACCCTAGAGTACTATAGAGGTGTATAGAGGGTTTTGTGGAGTAAACACCTCTCGAAATCCCACCTGTTCTGTAGAAGATGGCCCACCTCATTTAGGGACAGTTCCCGAGTTCTCTGAAGAAGTAGAGCACAACCAGTCTCATTCACTGTGGAGGTGCAAACTATTGAGTCTGCTTCTCCATTGTTTCATCAGCTCTCCAAGGTTTTCTAGACATGATGCCCCTTAGAACCTTCTAACTGGCCATGCTGGCCTCTGTGGAAGTCTTTAGGCATTCCTCTTGGACCTTGTGGCCCTCAGGTTATCTCCTGAATCTTCCTGCTCTACAGTGACTCTGGTGACTGTTTATTGTTCTTGGTGTGGCTCTTAAGAGAAACTTCTTGGGATAACTTTGGGGATGATTTTTATCAAAACCTTAATAAGGCTGGATAATCAGACCAGTAAAGTAAACATTGGCACATGTTAAATCATTACAACAATCTTCAGTCTGTTTCTTACCTAAAATCCCCCTGAGATACTGCAGGAGCAGATGTTTCCGGCTCAGATTCCTATCTTCTGTCAGTGTTCTGTGATCCTTTTGGTTTTCTGGCTCTGTTTCTGCTGGACGATCCATCAGGTTTTGTGAATAACCTTGCATACTGTGACCTCTTTGTCCCCCTCTGCTCTTCAATGGAGATCCTTTTGATCCACATGGGGACATAAAGTAATCACAGGGCTGGGTAAAGGGGTCAGTAGACATGGACAGGCGAGCAGCTGCCCACTGACAAGCTGAAGACACACACGGGGTTACTGTATAACAAAGTTAGACCAGAGTTAGACAAGTTGGCAAAACATTTGAATTTTGTGAGTCGCTGGGCAATTAGGGAGGCCTACCATACGCTGCATTGTTTATGCTTCCTGTGTTCTGACCATATTGGATGTAGTAGATCAGTCCCAGAATGGCCGTGCCTATAAAAAATCCTAGAAGAAGACCAATCAGTTTCTTTTGACGCTCAGAGTTTAACAGTTGTTGCTCTGGCTGGAGTGGGTTCCGCTGATGAAGCTGGTGGGAATTGTGAGGTTGCTCCGTCAATTGCAGCTCAGATGGAGCTTGATGCTGGCTCTCTGGTTCTGTATATGACTTTGACTGGTCTGTTTGCAGAAGCTGGAATAGGATGCAGAAAACCAAACTGTATAAATGTCTGGTACCATAATGTTCAAGCAAGATATAAAAGACATTCAAAATTTTAATCAGAAGTCAGAAAAGCATGTGTAGTATTCATATTTAGGCCCTTTATGCAACTAAACCTAGATAAAAATCATTAACCTTCCAAGATGTGGCTGTCCATCCAAACTGACAAGAAATGAAAGGAGACTTTTAATAAAGGAGGCAGCTTGAGCCATTATGTCCATGTTTACCCTGGAAAGCTGCAGAAATCTACAGCTAAAACGGAAAAATCTGTCAACAGGATAACTGTATTTTTACATACATTCCACAACTCTATTTAAGGTGAATGAATAAGACATTGGAGGCCTGGTTTTCAGGTTAAAACATTTTGTGTGAATAGAAATGGTTAACATGCATTGACACTGCACTACATGTTTTCTTTATCAACACCATGTGAACAGAGAACCTGGACAGGGTTAATGGGAGATTTGATGGAGCTTAATACTATTAGGGTCAAATTTCCATTATTGTAAAATGTCCATAGCTGTATATTGGTTATTTATTCTCCAGGTGCACTGTATTTATATTGCTAAAACACTTTACAGTACAGAATTTCATTTGTTTATTTTTTTTTAACTACACTTTTCTATGGTCCACATTTGTGTGACCATTTTTTTCCCTATAATCTTTTTGCTGCTGTAAACACCAGAGTTTCCCCATTGTGGGACAATAAAGGGATTTTCTTTTATATTCTATTCTATACAAGAAAATCCTTTAAGAATGCCTGACAGTGCAAGGGTCTTTAGTTGCAGTTCTCAAAATTGCCTGTCCTTAAATTTTCAGACGTAGCTCATTACTGGTTTTCTGCTGTATAAAAGAGCATGCCAAAGGGTAAATCAGCCATTTGGGGAAAGTGAGCATATATGCTTGTACAGTGGTTTTCAGGACCCATTGTCCTGCATGTTTTAGGTGTTTCCCTGCTTCCTCAAACCTGACATAAATAAATGGGTAATTACCGGGCCTCTGCAGCCCGTGGTGGCTGCTGAGGAAGGAATGTAATCTTTCAGTGCAGGTACTAGAGTAGGGATGCATCTAAAGCTTGCAGATTGGGTTTGGAAACCAATGCATTAAAAGGACGCTGGATGGGAAGTGGATATAAAACTAGAGGCTGCAAAAGATTGGAGACTTGCTCCACCGATTATAGTAGTGCTTTCCTACACCTGCATTATTTGTTCTGTGCCGAACCCACCTGAAGGTTTTGTTGAAACAGAGATCACCCTCAGCATACAGTTAAAGTTTCAGTGCTTTTAAAGGAACCGAAAACGTTGAGGTTGGTGATGGTAGAAAATAAAACGATTTCTCTAGAATTGCCCCAAAAATCATTCTACGGACACATGGCATCTCATAGGACTTGGGGAGCCCTACTTACTGCTCACCTCTAACTGTGAGCTCACCATTTTATTTACAAAGTTGAGACCACCTTTTTTTTTTTTTTTTTTTTTTACAATTCCAGTTGTTTTAAACTTTTAAATGATTACACTGATTTCAGGTATAGGTCAGTTTAGTAGGCATTTTCCCGTGAACATTTTTAATACAGTGAAGATGCTTTCTTGACTTTTCATTTTACAGCCGGGGTTAGAAAAAAAAGCCAGTTTCACACATATATAATACTGCAGAGAAACAGGAAGTACTAGATTGCTTATAAATCCAGAAACTCTGAGAGGATTGAGGCCTACATAATTCTCTAATGTAAAAGGAACTACTCAGGGTTCCAGTTGGATTATTTTTTTTTTCAGTACAATTATTTCTTAAAGTTGTTTTTTTTTTTTTTACAACACTGAATAAATGTTCTATAAATAAAAATCAGATTTCCCTTAAACAAAAAAGAAATTGAGAGGTATGCAATAAAAAAACGATTTATTAATATGCATACTTAATAGTGTAATGGTAATTATGAAGCGTGAGTAGATTCAAACCAGGAATATTTGTTAAAGCCATGGAACCATGAAATAAATGACAGAAAATTCTTTAAAAAAAAAAACAACAGTTGCCATTGAACTGTCTTTTTAAGTTAGATAAGATGATTTATTCTCCTCAATTTTGATACATTAGGCATTTGTGTATAATATTTATACATTTTCTGTTCAGTACGTGTGTCTGATTGTGTAAGACATGGTTTTCAAGATTAAAAAATCCTGCTGATGATGCAGAAGACTCAAATACTCGTGTTGAATGTGAACGTGACACTTGGATTTAAAGGTTAAAGTTGAACCAAATGTTGAGCTATTTAATTATACATTCTCAATCTTTCTCCCATACATTGTGGGGAGTGGTGGCCTAGTGGTTAGGACATAGATCTCCCTGGATGCCCCACAACGGCGGCCCACTGCTCCCCAAGAGGGATGGGGTTACATGCAGAGGTACATTTCTCTAATGTGAGATCAATAAAGTTCAATTATTATTTAATTAATCCCTTTTGTTCATGTACTTTTCAGGGGAAAACTGAACCACAAACATTTGTGTTTGCAACGTCTGAAACACTCAACATGATTATCAGCCTTCTTTTAGAGCATAAAAAAGCACTACATGGTTTTATATATTTCTGCTATTTTACACATTTTAACTGTAAAGTTACTTTTGGTGTCAAAAAGCACAAATGGAATTCGATATTTGGTGTGATGTAAAGATTTTCTTTGTTCAAAGTTAAATTTCTTTCTGCTAATAACAGTTGGTGCTCAACAGAATAAAATTCAAATATTGTAAAAGCATTTCCCCCTCAAATGTTACTTTTTTTCTAAACAGCACAACTAAATAATGACTGTTTTCTATTTAAGAGGATGATTTTCATGATTCTTACCTGAAGCTCGATTGAAGTTTGACTCATGCTTGCCTTGTTTCTTGTGCCGTGTTGTGTCCTGTGGCGTTTAAATTCACATGTACCTCCTCCTGTTGCTGCTGTCCCTGCGTCAGACTGCTGTCATCTATGCTCTGTATCTCTTTTCATCACTCCTTTCCTCTTCTGACTTTGCGATAAAAACAACTCTGCAGGTTTCGTCTTCACCTCCTCATTAAAATCCAAATAAAGCAGGGACTGAGCCCTCTGTTTTCCATTTATGGATTTGTTTTTAATAACATGCAGAAATGCTGGATACAGATTGCAACCAGTTTTTTTTTCCCTTTCCTGCTGTATTAATAGTGTCAGGAAAGAAAGCTGGGAGTGGAGAGTAAACACCAACACGTTGGCTGTGCTTAAACATTACACTAAGTAGGAGGTCAGCTTGTCTTCCTGGAAAGGACCTCTACATATTGCACACGTACATCTGCTATCGTCACTATCAGTGCAGCACATGGCTGGTAGGAACTGATAGAGCAGTCCGGAGGTCCCATTCTCACAAAGCACTGAAAACAAGCTTCAGTGATCTGATGTTGAAAATAAACTGGACATTTGTCAAAATAACAAAACAAAAAACAAACAGAAGAAAGGCAGGAGATGCACAAAAATTTGGTATAATAACCATTTCTTTTAATTCGATCTTTTGATACAGCCAAAAAATATGGGGTTGGACTAAATGTTGAAGTTTTCGCACATTCTTATGTATCAAACCTATAAAAAAAAGTTATAGGAAAAGACGAAGCATTCACAGGTAATACAAGGATGTACAATGTAAATGAAGCTGTGATAATATCTATAACAAACATTGATGGCAAAGTCGCAGGCACAAAGGTAAGAAACACTGACGCATAATACAGAGAACATAATACTAGGAGAAAGGCATGCATCACTATCACCTTGTTTTGTTCACTCTGGTGTTTTACGCCAGCTCAATTCAAGCGCGAAAATTGTCATACTTTAAAATTATTTTCTACAACTGCACACAAGCCTTACTGAATACAAAATGAAATACAGAAGCATGGAACAGTGTGGAATTTCATCAATGCAGCTCATGGCAGAAAGATGGAAATAACATTTATGAAACTTAAACTCAAGTATAAAAGGCTGACCAACAGAAACAGTGGTATCAAAACAATAAGAGAACATAAGTGGGCAACATGAATGCTAAGCTTTAAATCTAATCTACTGAGCATCTTTCAAATCAAGCTGCGTTTATGGTTCTATTATCCTGCTGCAAGACATGCATTTGAATACTTTTAATATTAGATCCATAAATTACATTAAAGACTTTAAGAAATGCCCGCTATTTAAGCTACTATAGATTTTTATTTAAAAATGATTATGTGCAGGGATTGTTCTGAGTCAAAGTTCAACTAGAACACTATTTAAGTTCACTATGGCACTGTGCAAGAATACATTACAGGTCCTGTTCTCAGCCATGCTATGAACTTAACTGATTTGCTGTTAAAAGATTTCTTTCCCACAGGTAAGGGAAGCTGTGCTTAGCAAATCTGTGCTCAACTTTTAATCATTTAAAAAAAAAAAAACATGCATCCAAAGAACAATCTATCAGACCTGAAAGCATTTTAAAGAAAGATTTGTTTTTCAAAAATTGTCCTTATAGACAGTATCATTAACTAAATTAAAGACAGTCAAACTCATGTCTGATGATTGAGAAATTCATACAGTGGAAGGCTGTAGCAGCATTCACTGTTTCTGTAGCAGAGTGAGCCTGGTGATAGGGAGAATTTTGTTTTTAGGCAGGAATGTAACATTAATCGCATTTCCAGGGAAAAAGCTGTAATGATCAGGTTCTGATGCTTCTTGCTCCCTTGTGCAAATCTTTGAAATGCACAGAGAAATTGGTATTGACCTCTTCTAATCCCAACAGGGGGCCAGGAGAATCCAAGATTGGATCTGTCTCTGATCAGTAAATTCACCTCAAAGAAGCGCTAATAGATCACAGAAACAAGAATAATTTTCAATGTAAGTTATCGAGACAACTCAAAGTAAACTCTACTCTGCGTCAGTGAGAACTGGAAAAACTAAGAAGCCATTTCAAAATAAACCATTTTCTACAGATGCATGTCAGCTGGTCAATCAAGTTGCTACAACACAAAGCTAGACTTTGGCCAGCGCTGGTCTTAAAAGGTAAACTGACATAGAAGCAACTTCAGAAGATAACAGGAATGGTAAAGCATTTACAGTAAAGCTGCTTTGTTTTTTTTTATTCTTAGGAACAATCCTACACAATGGCAGAATTAAGTTTAAGATCTAGATTTTCAAAAGAATAATCAGAGATGTAGTAAAGGTAACCATGCTACAGGTGCTCACAGCGAGTGTGATTGGCAATCATCCTATCTGTAGTTATATAAATAAAATCTGATTTTACGAGAACTGCTTTCTCTCGCCAACTGTGACATCAGGTCTGCTCCCAATATAAACAAATTACAACCAGTCACAACAGGAAGGTTTTAGAAAAATACTTGAATTCTGGTAATCACAGCTTTTAGGAAGAGAACTCAGAATTGGCTAAAGTCAGGATTAGCAAAAGTTTACAAACACAGGAGATTGTAAATCTGTGCATCTCTTAAATTGGTCGTGGAACTAATACAGTTGGATAGAAATGGGAAAAGTAACCAACTGAAGGTGTTAAATAAAAAAAAACATCTCCGTTCTTGGTCTTATTTACAATTTTCAGGAAAGAGACAGAGAAAGGCAACTCTAGATTTATCAGATGGCTCTTGTGCAAGTTCTGCTGTAATTGTAGCGTAAACATTGATTTGGCACATTAAACTACGCTGTAGTATATACACAAGAAAAGCTAGCTGGATGCCTGGAGCTTTGCAAATATGCAATAATACACAAGGGTATTTAATTCAGTGCAGTACATTACCTCTGCACTGGAAAAAGTGGTCAAAGACAAGAGGATACTACACTAAATCTGCATGCAAACATACTTTTTTTTTTTTTTAAACGATGCAATACATTCTCACAGAGACAAACACACCTGTGAACATCAAGAACAAAGCCCTGTTGCAAAGGCAAATCGGTAGCTGAATTAATCCTGTGCTTTGGGATTTGGTTCGTAGTTTAACTGAGAGATGCGTCAGCAGCCAATCACTGTGCGGCCTGCTTGGCTCGCTTGGTGTGGCACTTCATGCACAGGATCTTTCCATCCAGTGGATAACAGCCGTTTTCATCCGCCTCAATGGAGAGAGGGCGAGCACAGTCCTGTGGAGTGAAGAATAACGTGTGTGTTAACATTCTCTGGCACTTATTTAGAGGATATATTGATTCTTTAACTGCTTACCTCACAGCGGTAACACTTCAGGTGGAAGTTTTTGTCGAGGGCCACCACTCTGACCGTTTCCTCGCTCCCTGGGGCTGGAATAATGGGTTCATTGCAGCTCACACACAGAGGAGAGAAACGTCTAAAAGAAGAAGACAGAATTCTGTTGTTATTTCTCTGAAATTCTCAAAAGTAAAACAGCATAAAACATTAATTGAACCAAAACAAACACTCTTTTGACTGTCTATTAAACAGCAGAAGATGAAGAATCTAATTTAACAGTGTTTTCTGATTGCTTTGGTGACGTTAATCATTTCAACTCAGGGGTGTCCCAATACAAACCCATCTAATGGTTGTTGTTTGGGTTGTGTTTTCCACTGTCCTTACAGGGCTGCAAACTGGCAACATCTGGTATTGTTGCCTTTCTGAATTAAGATTGCATTTTTTTCCTGTGAACAGAGGGGTTCTCACTGGGTGCTCCGGCTGGCTGATTCTATGCACTATATACTAGACTGTTGCACCTACATGCACGTTCGTGAGGGGAAAATGCTGCAAAGTCTATTGGCTAAGCTTCTTACATAGAATTTGACATAAACTTAATTGTTTAGAAGGCTGTTAATCAGTCTAATGATTTAATGGGCTCTATGCACAACTCCACTACGTCCTGAACTTAAAGCAGCTCTTTTGTTTCCTGTCTTTTTCTACTGGATTAACTGAATAATCCAGGTGCCTGGCCACAGTAACCATGACCACACACATCTGGATTAATCAGTCTATTCAGAGATGAAAGCCAATGAATAAATGAGCTGCCTTAAGGAAGTATTGGAGTGGTACATAGAGCCCATGACCTTGCATAGCCATATATAACTTCGAATTGTTGTTTTGTGAATCGTCAGTACACAAATAAACTGGACTGAAAATCACAGTCTTCAACAATATTTATACCAGATATTATTAACAATAAAACTATATTTAATCAGAAACACAAAAGAAGAATCATGCATGTTGTTTTAATAATCTGGAGGCACCTGTGGTAATCCTGGACACAGTAGGGATTGTTGTTGTCATCAGTGATAAATGGCGCGCCCTCCAGAACGCAGGAGCAGGTGCTGCAGCGGAAACAATGGGCATGGAAGCACTGTCCCACGGCCTTGAGGACACGGTCAGTGATTCTCTCCCCACATCTGGAGCAGATAGCCAGGGAACTCTGAAGAAGCAAAAACAAAACTAATCAACAGGAATCATGTAAATAATGATGGTAAATATGCTGTGTGTTTTCCTGTTTCTACAAAGATAAAACTCATGCTAAAATCTTGATTAGCTTCATTAAATTGAAACAAATTATGTTGCAGAGCATAAACAATTACAGCAAATGCCTTAGATTTATTTCAACTTGGTAAAAACTTTTGTTTAACACCCAGGAATTGGTTCAAACAATCTGTTTATGCTGCATATGGACTGTGGTTCCTCACCACGTAACAGTCTTCACATTGCGGTGAGCCATCCCTGTCATAGAACTGCATGCCCTGCAGGGGGCGATGGCAGCTCATGCAACAGAAGCAGTTGGAGTGGAAGAGCTTATCCATGGCCCTCACAGCAGGCTGAGTGCGGGACAGAGCCTCTCCACACTTCCCACAAACCTCTGGAGAAATACAAGTTCAACAACATTCTTTACTAACATAGATGTGCTTTTCATAACCGCTAATTATATTTACCACATTCCTTACTAAAGGAAAATAACATCATAAAACATTTGGCTCTGATGGACAAGGTTCATTTAAATTCTTAAGATTTCTTTTGTCCCCAAACAAAAAGGAGAAATTCACAGTTAAACAAAGGTTAAATCATCAGAGCAGTTAACAAAGACCTGCTTCAGGTGGAGATAAACATATATTGTTTTCAAACAATGAAGAAATGATGTAATATCATAA